AAATTTCAATTTTTACTATGTTTTATTAATAAATTTGAACACGTGATTCCATAATTACGTTAGCCACTGTATATATTTATTATATATATATTAATGTACTTGCTAAATATAAATTTCTAAAAATAAAAATTCTTAATAATAATGCCTAAAAATTGCAAATTTTATTATTTAAAAGTGAAATGTTTTACTTTATTTATTCTTAAATAAAAGTATAAAAAAATACTAAAAATAATATAAAAAGTTATATTAAGATATGCTTTATTTGATATAAAAAAATTATAAATATTAATTATATTTTGTATAATTTTTATTAGAAGTAATTATTAATTTTTATTTTTCATGTATCAATATTTTTGCACCAAACCATATAAATTATATATATAAATAAAATTGTAATTCAAATTTAGAACTACAAATCAAACTTTGAATTTTTTTTAAACTCAAACCAAAGTTCAATTCAAATTTTTGAACTTAAATAAAAGTTCAATTTATAAAAATATTAACAAAAAATTATAAAAAAACTAATATAACTTTATAATAAAAGTTAAGAGATTATATTAACTAAACAAATATTATCTATTAGCTAACAGATAATAATAAAAATAACTAACTTATTATTTTTTTAGCTAAAATACATGCTATATTTATAAATAATAATAATTAAAATAATTATTGAAATGATCATTTACTAATTAATAGATTATTTATTATATAAAATAATAATTCATAACAATGTCATTAATAGAGCAGATTTGCTGATTTTAATCATATAAATTTTGTTTAATATTAATATATAAATTTTCTTGGAAATATCAGTGATACAAAAGTGATTAATTTTATTAAAATGGGAATTCAGTGTTCTGAAAGCTTAGAATCGGAAATTCACGATCGACGCTTAATTAATCGCCGATCAGTGCCGAATACTTTGTAGATCCTTATGTATGTGTTTTCACGGAACTAATAAGAATTGTAAATAACGATAAGTATGTTGTTTATCACTAAACTTATACTAATTTTCAATTACACTTTTATCATTCTACAATAAATACTTATTTATGGTGTATACTGTGATGACGAATGGGGCATCCAACAAGATTGAAAACTTGTTTCAAAAAAAATTTCCACTTGATTAAATATCAAATTTTATCGATGTTATCGATAAGATAATCAAGATCTGCGAACTGTACACAAGTAGGATAACTTCCTTACTACGGGTTTATTAGAGCAAAGATTGTACGTACATACACATACCAAAGATTATAGCCGATTTCTTTTCTGTTACGCGCGTAAAATTTTTGCAAATACATAAAGTTCTTCAAATTTACGCCGGTACAACCAGGGGTACCCTACAGCCAGCCACTTAAGGAACAGGTTAAATTGATTTTAAGGTTTAACTAAACCATACAGGTTACTTATTCAATAAAGAATAGAACAGTATAGTCAGTGTTGTCGCTTGGACGTAAATCCAGCAATTTGATTGGTTGGGACAAGTGTTCTGACCAATCAAATTGCTGGATTTATGTCCAAGTGACAACACTGCTCAGTATAGTACTATGAATTGTCTACAAATAGCACAGTATTCTTACATAACTACATGTATAAGTATATTTGTAATAACAGCTCAAAACCAGAAACCCACAAAAAAAAACTGTAAGCAAATAGACATATGTCTAACAATACATTAAGTGATTATCGTTTCACTAATTAAGGAGATCTTGCAACTACGTATGAATTATGTATTATTTGTCCAACTGTCTCGTGACGTATATCCCTCAGCCATAGAATTTGGGGTTTTTCGCAGAATCTCGACCTGTAGGAAAAAAAAGATACAAAATTTTTTTGTTTTAAAATACATTTTTTTAAAGTAACAAGGCCTGACCAATATTGAACACCTATAAAACTAACAATAAAAGTGAACAAACAAGTCAGATTGCATGGGTCCCGACTCTCAGAGGTGTGTATATGCGTAGTTCTTTATCAATCTCCGTCTCACAACATGTATTGTTCAGTTGCAATGCTTGTTTTTTCTATATAATACCTTCAACTCCCCATTGGTGACCAAGTTAAGTTAAACGATGTCGTAACACACATATTGATATATTGCATTATTTATATACATAAAAAAGGTCAATTTATAAAAAAAAGTTAACATGAATTCTCGGACCTTTATTAAAAGACTTAAAGTCACTGCAGCGTGCCTCAATTGTCGTAAAAAGAAGGTAAAATGCTCTGGGCCAGCTGTGTGTGATCGTTGTAGCAGGTTTAACTTGTCATGTCAATTCGATGCAAGACCCCAAAAACGTGGCCCTCAACGGGGTAACGTAGATGTGATAAAAGTGAAAGAGAGTCGAGTCGAGGATTTGTTTGATACTATTCCTGGAGATTTGAATTTCAAGGAAAAAGAACGTTTAAAAAATCAAGCTCTATCAATTGACGGTATTTCACCAGATGAATTTGAACAAGTTTCGAAAATTTCTATGAAATTCCACAATCCTGAAGGTAATAAAATATAAAAATGCGAGATTTAGCATTATATACAATTTCAACTGACAAATTTATATATTAAATATTTTTACGCAGCTATTCCTCGTTTGACAATTCTTCAAAATTGTATCGTCACAACAAACAGGTACTCTCTTTAACATCACGTGACTAAAAATTATTATCATTATAATATCAAATTTTTCCTGCAGCTGCGCAAAATGCTCATCAAAAAGCGAACCTTATCTACCTGAGAATCAGATTTATCAACATTCTGAATTTTGTCAGCAGCTTCCTTCGTTATCACCAACAAATCATCAAAGCTTACAATCACTAGAGCCAATATCAATAACCAGTATTCCAATAGAACCAATGAATGCGCCAACAAATAGTGTAAATAATGATTCTTATCTTGCACCAATTTTACTGTTGCCAGATGAAATGCTTCGTGGAAGTGTTCCTGTACCTAATTTTTGTATTAGTGACGAAGAATCTATCAGTTACGATCACGTGAACAATTATAATAATTATGATTATAATGATTATAATGATTATTGTGATTATAATGATTATAATGATTATAATGATTATAATGATTATAGTAATAATAATAGTAATAATAATAGTAATAATAATAGTAATTACAATTATAACGGTAGTAATATTATTAATTATGATTATGATTATAATAATGTTGTTGATGATGATGATGATAATAATAATAATAATGATGATGATAATAATAATAATAATAATAATAATAATAATATTAATAATATTAATAATAATAATTATAATTATAATAATGATCATTATAACAATTATAATAATGATAATAATAACAATTATAATAGGGATTACACAAAAAGAATTTAAATAATTCTTCGATACCCAAAAGTCAATGAAACTTGATCGAATTAACACTACAAAAAATTAGCAAAACAAACTTCATTTATAGAGCCATTCCATCTTATTTATCATCTTCCTATAACTACGCATATACAGTACTCAAACTTTAATGAAACTTTTGATCGAATTAAATACGACAACAAATTAGCAAAAAAAAACAGCAATCTTACTTCATCTATAGAGCCATTCCATCCTATCATCATTTCCTTATAACTACACGTATACAATACTAAAACTTAATTGTGCCTCAATACCCATATTTTGCTTTTTACGCATATTCTGACTTCTTGTGGTCGATTGATTAAAATTTTTATTCTTTCTTTGTCGAACCTTCGTTAATTACTTTATTCCATTTCAAGCGCTGCAATCAATTTTTGTGAATTTATCATGATTGCACCTATTTTTTGATTTACTTACCAAAAGTGGCGGAAAACAAGTATAGAAAAGCAAGAGAGCTTAAAGGAGATGTTGAAATCAATATACGCTTGATGAATTTGAATAATCGTAGACAAGGTATACTTGTAGCAATTCTTTACACCTCTGGCAATCATAATGGTGGTAGAATTACGAAGGTGAATTTTTTGGTGGTAACATTTTACGTGAAGCTTTTTCATCCATTATTTGAGAACTCATACCACTATATAGTTGGACGACTAAGCTCGGTGACGCTTAATTGTCACTTGTTTCGGCTATAGTACAGTCAAACCCCCCGCGATAAGCACCTTTTTTTCAAGAACCAGTTATAATAAAGCACCCCGCTATAAGCACATTCATTATAAAAATTACTATTGGACCCGACAGTGTGATGACTGTACATGTATAATCCTAAAACCGTGTGCCAATTAGCATCACATGTCCCAGTGCATTGTTGAACGCGGAAGACGTTGTCCGGCGATTTTTGGCGGACACGGACATGTCCGAAAGTCGGACACGGACAAGTCAATCTCAACATAAAGTGTTAATACTAATAGACGCAGACGTCAAAGTCCCGGACATAGACGCAGCCCGGCCCGTTCGTGTCCTGTCCCATGACAACACTGGATCCCATTATCTGAAGAAGTAATGTTGACAAATGTTCGTATCAATATCAATGATTCGTACCCGTGCTAAGTTTATTAATCGATTTTCTCGTTTTGATGCAAGCTATACAAAAGAGGTTTGATACGTTTGCCCGAGGCAGTTGAATACAGAATACGTTGACCGTGTGGACATTGAATCATATTTGAAGCTGGTCTTCGTTATATTCTGTATTATTCTATTATATATGAGATATGCTGCTGCTTCGCTCCAAAACGACTAATATACAACATCAAAGATATTCAATGTCTGCTCAATATTTAGGATGCATTACCGAGAGTTTATTGGGCGGTCAACTAAGCGTTTCTTATTCAACGTTGCTATTTTACGGTTTACTATTTGACTATGGTTGAATCTTCGCTCAGAATTCCAAGTTTGAAATGTTGGCTGTAATCCAATATGACAGGCAAGTTATTAATACTGGAAAAATTTTGCGTTGAGAATAAAGTTCTACATCCACCGAATAATTCGAAATATGATATAGTTTACCACGCTCAAGGAATAAAGCGAGTTCTGGATCACAATTAAGAATATTCGACCATCGACGACCATCGATAACCATCGACGACCATCGACGACCATCGACCATCATCGACCACCACCATCCATCATCGTCACTAGCACCACCATCATTTCGTCTTCATCTACTGTATTGACGGCGTCCTTGGAAATAGGTCGGAATCGTGAAATCGGCATCCTGCAGTCTTCAACAGCAACAAGTTCTTTAAGATGAAACGATGATCTTGAAGAATAAACTAATCAAAACCAAGATTCTGCTCGACCAATCATTCCTTATATATATATTTTTGATAGAAAATACTCCTTATGATTGTCTTAACTTGGTCGTCAAAAAACTTACTATGAATTGTCTTCAAGATTTTCAGCAAAAACTACCGTAGTATACCAGTTTTTTTGTAATTAAGAGACCCGGTGTATTTTGCGCTGCGAATCACGGTATTAATATTTTACTAGATAAGTAGAACTCGTATGGTCGTCTTCATTGTGAGCTTTGAAGATTTTCTTATCACTGTTCTAATGCGTGAGATTTGTGCTTTATAATTGTTTATACTTTCCTATCTTCCACTTAATGATTTGATCTTTGTTAATTTGTTTCTGAAGTGCATGCTTGACCTTTATCGTTTTCTTCTAGTTGATTTTTCATTTGGTGGGTAAATTTCTGCATTGCCATTCGTATAAATTCGCCTTAACATATTTTCAACGATAGAAACATCCAATAGAACTACCCTATCACCGAGTGTCTATGTCATCAATTTTTGTGTCTTGTCGATTTTCGTGTCTCTTTGGTTTGATCGATTGTATCGTGTATCAGTTATCGACGAATAAGTATTTCTTGCTGATAAGTTTTAATTTTCGCTAAGTACAGTAAAAAAATTTAGATAGATAGTGCGAGGCCAAAAAGCGATTAATTTTCGCTAAGTACAGTAAAAAATTTAGTGCGAGGCCAAAAAGCGTGTAAATTTTGTTTTACGATTACCATGAGAAAATTCTCAAGACCTCTACAATGATATACCATTGATCGAATGTCATGTACGTAATCGACTCATACTTTTTAGAACATATGTATGTCATATTTGTACAACAAGTAAGCTTGATCTTATCGATATTACTTACTAGATATCGGATGATCGGCATCGGGATGTGACAGTCACTTGGCTAGGATAAGTATAGAATATCAATCAATTTCAGCTAATAATAAAAATAATAAAATGATAAATAAATAAAATGATAAATAAATAAAATGGTACACTCGGTGGACAAAAGTTTACAATCAGCAATGATCTACAAATGTAGACCACGAAAATTAGGGTAACTTCGAC